AGTGGGGTCTTGAGGAATTGGGTGATATGCTCTTTACATTTTTGAATTTTCTCCAAAAAAGAATCAGAGATATTGGATGCCTGAACAGTCTTATCCCTCTTGTCCCTTCAACCCCATGTTACCTTGTTTGAGAATAAGGTTGTAGGGGTACCACCCTTTTATAACCTTGTCCTTCCAACTTTGCACACTGTAAACATTCAACAGGTAGTTATAAAATAAACACAGGCATATTGTATATGTGTGTTTGTGTATGTGTGTGTGCGCATGATGGTGACATGGTAGGGATTGAAACTTTGTCCAGGCAGAATATACCTTAGGGTATTTGTCACTCCTTTTAATACACATTAAAGGATAATTTTAAATGTGCTAATCTCTTGTATTGTTTCCAAAATAGGGAGGTAGATCTGGAGCAATTTTGCCTCTGCCCCTCACCGCTTTTAAACCCAAAGGGTATGTTTTTTCCTTAACTACCAAAGAGAGAAGCAAAGAGGAATAAGTTAAGTAGAAAAGAGGTAAGCCTCCGTGTGATTTGAACCAACGTTTGAATCTGAAAACACCATATGTTTCACCAGGAAGTCATCAATTGGAAATGACATTTTCTTCATCCTAAATTATTAATCAATTCAGTTATTTAAGCCCAGAAAAATGTTTTTGTATATTTTGCCCAGCTATGTTCTCTGCCTTCCTGTTTGTATACACACTCCGCACAGTCCGGCTATTTCAATGACCTTAGTATTCTGTTCTGTAATTTAGGTTTGAATGTAAGCTGTTCTCATCCTTTTGACGGCAGCAAAACCAAAGGAAAACAAGAAAGTTAAGATGGAAAAGATAGGGGAAGAGTGGAAACCAGTGACAGATTCCAGCACCCGGAACTCAAACGAGAAGAGAACTGTGAAGAGGTTGTGGCCTTGGGCGAAGCCATGGGGAAGGAGAAGCAGCAGGCTTCCCCCCCGTGCTACCCACTGGTGGCTCAGTTCGAGAGAGCTCCGTTTACAGATCGGAATTCCCTTATCAAGGACAAGCCGAGCCTGTGAAAATGAAACGCAGGAGCTCAAATCCAAATATGGGGAGAGCTTGAGAGCCCCAAATTATTGGAAGGCCTTATTTCGGTTTTGACTTCCAGCCACTCTTTACACTGGTTCTCCCCAGGCTTTTGAGAATAACCTGTTTAAAATAGGGCAGGAAGAAAAGGGTTCGAAAAACACATGATTTCCTACCACCTACCCATGAGATGTGGCTATCGATTACTAGAAAAGGGCATAAAAAGTGACACTAACCACGAAGGGATTCGAACCCTCAATCTTCTGATCCGAAGTCAGACGCCTTATCCGTTAGGCCACGTGGTCGCCGAGCAGATGGTCTTGCTGTGACACTTAGGAAGTAAGTTTTCTGCCCCGTTCTGAGTCGTGAAAGTTACGTAATGACAAAAAGGCAATGGCCCCCCACGCCGCCGGCGCTCTCTGTCATTGGAAAAATAGAAACTCGAGATTACGGGGGTTATCTCGGGCCAAGGAGCAGGGCCTTGTGAAGGGTAAGAATTGACAATTATTTCGGTCTTGGGTACTCCATGGAGGGAAAAGTCATTGACTGTACGACTCCCGAGCAGAAAAACTGGAGTTTATGGCACCCAAAGGATGCCAAAATATTGCATATTGCCTGCATCGAGGGATATTTTTAAATAAGAGAACTCAGAGTTTCTTCCCTATTAATATTCAGTCACGCTCGCAGTTTTCAAACTCTAGGTACTTGGGATGTCTGCCTGGACAGTCGTCAGTAAGAAGGCAGTCTTACTACATAAGGCAGCATCTACACGATTGTCTTTCTTGTCACCTGGCATGGATATCTGCAGGCCCCCAGGCATAACAATTTCCCCTTTTCCATGTTTTCTGGTATTTTCCCTGACTGTCATAACGTGACATCAAAGCACTTTTCACAGTATATTTCTATCTGTTTGAAAAGAGAATGCTTTTTTTTTTTTTTTTGGCGTTTCTCAGGGTTTAGGGGAGTCCAGTGCCATTACTATTATTTGAGGCTTCCATATATTAAGAAATAAGCAATACGGTAGAATTACAAAAATTTTGATTGTGACAATTTTTACATTTAATAGATGAATCAACACAAAAACGTGTTACAATAAAATCAGTCTATGGTCAAAATATTTATAGAATTTATAATGTATGGTAGAGGGCTTGGCCCAATGATGTGATATAAAGTTATATTTTGGATGGCTTCTTTTAAGCTTGTCAGTGAATCTCTGTGACCTCATGCACCTCGTTTGAAGATAATGTCAACATTATTAGTCTACACATTAGGCATTTCCTTAATTTTCTTAAATTCTAGACCCTGGGAGCATTGGCCTTCCTGGCTTATTTGTGGTAGGTCTTGGCTTTTCTTGACTAGTAAATTAGCAGCTTTCTGGAGTACAGAAATAGGCCCTTTCACACAGTCTTTCTTCCCTGTCCACGGAATAACATGTGGCAAATAGTAGGAGCTCAATAAAAATGTGCTGAATTTCTCATATACATATGTTTTTGAATTTTGAGATTATCTTTAAGGTGGAGATTATTTAACAAAAAGATCCTTATCTCCTGAAAATATTTGAACGTGGACTTGTTTTCTCTCTTTCTCTCTTCCTGGAAGCAGGAAGATGGTGGCTAAACCATCATGGGTAGTGTTGGTGGAAGTGGTAAGAAGTGGTTGAATTCTGGATATGTTTTGAAGGATTTGCTGATTGGATTGAGGGTGTGAGAGAAATAGAGAAGTCATACATAGCTCCACGATTTTTTGCTTTAACAAGTTTCCATTTACTGAGATGGGGACCACCACAGGAGAGGAAGGAGCATTTTGGGGGTGGTGTGTGTGGGGTTAGGATAAGTTCTGTTTGGACATGTTAAGTTTGAGTTGTGCACTTAACATCCAAGTTTGGAGTGGTCAAATTAGGATTCTATATGTATACATACATAACATTGTGAATATACATGTTGAAGTGGATATATATATATATACATATATATCCAGTCTGTTGAAGACTCCATCTTTGAGAATATTATCGTCAATGAAATCCAGCCAAAATAATTTTTGACCATGACTGGTGTGTTGCTTTCCATGACTTTTCTCCTCAAGCAAGAAAGAGCATCCGTGCCATCCCTGAAGATGGAGGACAAGAAAGCCTTCTCTAGTATTTCCTTGTGTATATCTTTTTTTGTGTGTCTGCACTTTTTCCTTTGCTGTAATAAATCTTAACGTTGCGTAAATGTTGATTCATGTGACTCCTTCCAGCGAATCACCAACTACTGGGTGGTCATAGGGCTACCGGGAAACAACTTGTACTATACATACGTATTTACTTGTTTAAAAGCATTTCTACACTGTAGGCTACTTAATGCCTTTTCTTAGCGCCTAGGACAGTATCTAACACATAAATATATGAATAGGAATCCTTTCTGAGAGAGAGAAAACTATAAAACAGTCCACACATATATTTAAAAAATGAGCATAGAGAATAGTTCTGTTAGAGATTGTAAAGCAAGGTAGAGGGTAGAGACACATTTACCAGTAGCCGCCGAAGTGGTTTTCTCAGGTCAAAGTACAATCATGGCCTCCCAAACTCTGCACTCTGTCCCAAACTGCTACTTATTTCTCCAAAGATTAAAACTCTAGTAGTTGCAAAGAATCTGCGCCGGGATGGCCCAGGAGATATCTAGTCTATCAGCTTAACCACATGGCCACAATTACCTAAAAGTAGTGCTTTCCGAATTATGTTATAGAAGGAAATGTAACTCAAGATCTTGGCTTCCACCCCTGCCCTCAGTTTAATTCAGCATTTTCGCAGCTTCATAGGGCAACGAGAACTGTCGTGATAAAATAGCACGGTTACTTTGGCAACCAGAAGAAATCACTTAAACGGTTTCACGTTTATTTTCAGGGAGTCATTTTAGCTCCAGAATTTAAAAAAAAAAAAAGGGGTGGGACGCCATTTTATTTTTTTTCCTTACTGTGAAACAAGGTTACACAGTTTTAACTACAGAAGGAAAATAGCAGAGGATGGTTTCGATCCATCGACCTCTGGGTTATGGGCCCAGCACGCTTCCGCTGCGCCACTCTGCTCTCTCTTTAAAATCATTTCCTAATAATACTCTTAAGTCTACTCAGAGGCGACTTGGCCTCTAAATACAAAAAATGTAAGAAGGCGCCTATTTATTTCAATTCCTTGGCTACAAGTTGCCAAGTCTCTGGAATAATATCGCTACCAGAATCAGAGGAAACGACGAGGAGTAGAAAAGTAAACATTAACAGAGTTAAGTTACTGGGCGCAGAGGTGAGGGGTGGTTAGATAATTAAATGAGAATTACAGGTTTTAGTAAACAGGGAAGGAAACGAAAACAAGAGGGAAAGGAACACGGGCGTCCGCGCGGCGGGCGAGAATTCTACCACAGAATCACTAACCAACCATGTATTCGCCTTTGGGAAGAAAATCCTTTTGGTCAGATTTCCCTTGGCTTCGTGATGGAGAGGGTGAAGTCCTGCAGTTTTTAAAGTCCTCCGGAGCGGGGGGTTCGGTTTGAAGGGATTTTGTTGTAGGGAGGAGTAATGCTGGAAGCACCGTAAACTTGGGGGCAAAGCGGGGCTCCGCATTCCAGCGAAGGTTGCAGCAGTTCCAGTCGTGTGGGCCAAGGCTCCTGAGCAACCGTTCCAAAGCATCCCAAACAGCAAAAGATAATTAGTAAAAAAAAATGTTAACGTTTTTAGTCTGACGCAGCTGTTAAATAGGTCCTAGAAGTCCCACTTAGGGCCGGAGGACGTGCTGTAGACTCCTTCGTGAAGGGCACATTCGGCGGGCGGGGACTAAGTCATCACGACGTCATCGAGACTGGGCCGCGAGGAGAGGGGCCGGCGGGCTAAAGGAAAGTGCGGGCGACCGCGCTTTCAGTCTTCAATTCGGTCCGAAACCCGTTCATATAAGGGAATTGCCTCGGGGTTTCTCTCGCTGTTTTGAAAATTGTCAGAGCAGTATTACCATGTCTGGACGAGGCAAAGGTGGTAAGGGATTAGGGAAGGGGGGCGCTAAGCGGCATCGTAAGGTTTTGCGCGACAACATCCAGGGTATCACCAAGCCCGCCATCCGGCGTCTGGCCCGGCGAGGTGGGGTCAAGCGCATATCTGGTCTGATTTATGAAGAGACCCGTGGGGTACTGAAGGTGTTCTTAGAGAATGTGATCCGAGACGCGGTCACTTACACGGAGCACGCCAAGCGGAAGACCGTCACCGCCATGGACGTAGTGTACGCCCTCAAACGCCAGGGCCGCACCCTCTACGGCTTCGGCGGTTAGGTCGCCCGTTTTCAGCGATTTAACATCTTTTACTACCAAAGGCCCTTTTCAGGGCCGCCCAAATGTTTCGGTGAAAGAGCTAGCACTTTTTGCTGTTCTTTTTCCTTGCTTTTTATGAGGTGTACTTCATTTACTTTTAATTAGTCAAAAGCTATTTTTCGTGCTTCTTAGTTTCTAGTTCACATTTTAGGAGGGCAGAAGTTGGCTGATTTGTGTATGTTTCTGCTTTGTGGAAGTGGTTTCGGGTATAAGTTTGAGCATTTTAACGTTTCGTGGGGCAGTGAAGAAACTCGCAGAGCACTGTCTTCCCTAGGAAGATTCCGCTTAAGTTCTGGTGTATTTCAAGTTTGGAATCGTGTATGCATAGCGCTTGAATGCTGGAGAGAAGTCGGCTTACACTGCCCCCGATGTAGTAATGCGAGGCTCCCTTCCCCCGCCTGTGGTCCGTGCTCAAAATGGCGGCGAGGACGAGGAACAAAGAAAGCCCGCGCCCGTGGCGGAAAGCGGGGCCCGGAACAAAGGCGAATTTACGAGTGGGGCGGGTCGTCCCCTGCGCGGGGGCGCGCTCCTGAGCTGTGCTGGAGTGTGGTCCTGCGGCTGGGCTCTGCAAACTTAAAACCCTTGTACCAGTGCTTTGGGGGTAAAATTAAAATGCACAGGCGGGGAGAGCTAGCACGTGTTGCTAGTCATAGAGAACACTGTATTCTGACTTTCTGTTAAAATTTTAAAAAGCCGATAGGAAGTATGTTACTTAATGAACAACATAAATGTCACCTAAGCTTTACAGTTAAGTAGACATGATTTTAAAAAAATGCTACACAGGCATCAGTATATTTTACCTCAAATTAAGTACGCACTATTTTATTTTTTAAAAAAGCTCCCATATAATCACTGCCAAACTAAAACCAGATTCCCTAATATCTAATACTGGGTTCACAGTAACAAATCCCAGTTATGCCCCAAAATGTCTTAGAGATCTGGTTTGCTTAGGAGGATCCAATCACGCCTTTTCAGTCTCAGGTTTCTGTCTTTTTTTGGTCTCAGGTCTTTTAATCTACAAGTTTTCTTCTCTCCTCCTTGATCTCATTTAGTTTTTTGATATTGATTTGCTGTAGACCTGGCCTATAGGATGCCTTGCTTTGGCTTGTTTCCTGATGGGGTTATTTTCCTTGACTTCTGTACCCTGAATGCCCTACAAGTGATTTTCCCTAGACTTGACTGAAATTACGTTAATTTTCTTGTCAAGGAACAGTTACAGATGATTGTATGTAAATACTATTGTACATCAGAGGCACTTGATGTCGGGGTTATCCAGATTCGATATGATAGATCAATTACTGGTTTAGGGTGATTAGTGTCTTTGTAAAAGCAGGTTTTTCCTCCTTGTGGCCTGCAAGTAATTTGTAGGGTGATACTTTGCGAGCCAGAAATCAATGCAGTCATTTGGAATCTCATCTGTTTTAAAGATACGGGCTCTGGTGCTTAAATATGAAAAGGATCAGATGTTATTTGAGCTAAGGCACTGGTTTGAGGAAACAAATTCATATGACGATGTTAATTTAATAAACAAACAAAATTGAGCACATGGCATATACCAGGCACTGTCTGATGCTATGGAATTATAGCAGTGAACAACTGTGAACAAAACAATATATCTATATTCATGGAGCTTATATTTTGTTGGAGGGGGCACAAACAAAACAGGTAAAACAGTATGTAAGATGGTGCTATGAGGACCACTGAAGCTGGGAAAAGCATTAAAGTATGGAGGAAGGAGGTGACATTTTAAATGATATGGTCATAGAAGGCTTTATTCATAAGTGATGCTTGAGGGCAAAAGGATTGAGAAAGTGAAGTTCCAAATGGAAGGAAGACCAAGAAGGAAAGTCTGGATGCAGAAAGGAAGTATTGTGGTTGGGTGGAGGAGGTGAGTAGTTCTTATATGGCCTTCCTTATAACCCAACACCTTATTAAAAGAGGTACCTCTAATCCTAGTGAGGCATGAGAAAGTCCTTGGAAAGTAAGGCACATGTTGCATGAATTGGCCATCAAAGGCAGGGAAGACTTACAGCCACAGGCACTAGGTTGTCCTCAGAACAGTTCAGGGAAACGAACTGGTTTCAAAGAGGGGCTTGGACTGTTAGAAGTGGTTTGCATTGTTCACACTGCCGGACAAGGAATCCTAATTGGTGTTAAATGCTAGTAGGCTTTCTGGCCTACTGCCTTGTTTATGGCTTCAAGATTCTGAGACTCCAAAGTGGGCAGGACTAAGAGCAGCTTCCCAGCACTTCAACCAGAGGCTTTAGCCAACAGCTAATACTTTAGAAGACCTTCTCTGTGCAGTCACCACCCTGAGTACTTTACTTGTGCTCTTTTATTGATCACCCCAGCAGTGCCACACAGTAGTTGCTAATTATTATTCCCATTTTAGAAAGAAATGCTCACAGAGGGTTTAAGTAAGATGCTCAAATTTAACATTCAAAGAGGCAGTCGGGACTAGATCATATGCTGGGGGATTTCCCCATAAACCATGCTTATCCATTTCTCAAATATACTTATTTGTTTTCAAGAATACATTATTTTAAAATGTACTTAAAATTAACTTCGGAAAGCAAGAAATGAATGCCTTAATTATATGTGGAGTTTAGGGAATTTTCTTCACAAGCACCATTCAAAATATAGTAACTTATTTCATGTTCACAAAACTCACTGTGTAGATGTAGGGAAGAAATTTTTTTTCCTTCTTCCCTTCTAGATTCTTTGGCTGGCCTAATAATTGATAGAAGACAGATTGACAGGAGAAAAACCAAACGTAACAACGATGTATCTCCTGTATACACTGGAGAGCCCCAGTAAAACAAAATCTACAAAATGGCTGCGGCTACCACCTTAAATACCATCTTCAGCTAAAAACTAAAAACGATGGGGATGGGCAACCAGGTGAAAGCACAGGAAACAAGGGTAACGTTGTTATGCAGACGTAAGTTGTGGGCTTTTCCATAGATAACAGATTCGGCCATCCTCCTCTTCCAGGTAGAGTAAGAGACACCCATACAAAAGGGGTATTTCTCTTACAAAGGCAAACGTCTCTTACGAAAGAATAACTTTCCGAAGCTTTCAGAGCTTTTTCTCTTTCCTAGGTCATACATAAATATAATTTTGAAGTCTGGAGTTACAGACCCTTAAGAGACAATGTGGGTGGCTCTTAAAAGAGCCTTGAGTTACTGGAGAGGGAGCGAGCTTATTTGGAGCTGGTGTACTTGGTAACAGCCTTGGTGCCCTCGGACACGGCATGCTTGGCCAACTCCCCAGGCAACAACAGGCGCACGGCCGTCTGGATCTCCCTGGACGTGATGGTTGAGCGTTTGTTGTAATGCGCCAGACGCGACGCCTCGCCCGCGATGCGCTCGAAGATGTCGTTGACAAATGAATTCATGATACCCATGGCTTTGGAGGAAATACCGGTATCCGGGTGAACCTGCTTCAACACCTTGTACACATACACGGAGTAGCTCTCCTTGCGACTACGCTTGCGCTTCTTGCCATCCTTTTTCTGGGCCTTGGCCACCGCCTTTTTGGAACCCTTCTTCGGAGCAGAAGCAGACTTAGCTGGCTCAGGCATCGCAAGATCCACAAAACCGCCAGGTAGCGAACGAGAAACAAATACGCCCACGAGCAACCGGCCTCAGTATTTGTTTGGTCTGTATGCAAATTAGAGATGGCAGAATTACGATTTGTGATTGGTCTTTTCAGCATCTTAATCTCTGATAGGCTCTTTATTACAAAGTTTCATTGGCTCTTCCCTTAGCTCAACCTTACATAATTTGACCTTTCAATTACAAATTCTCTATGTAAATTAGTAACGTTATTGTTTTAGAACTAGCTTTTGATTGGCTAAGGTTTGTGTTCGGCCAATCGCACAGGCTGTTTTACCAAACCGCCGCAGAGTATAATAGTCTAGTTTCTTGTGTTCGGAGGGTCATTTTCTTTGGTTTTTGTTTTGATTTTAGTGTTTCGTCATGTCTGGCCGGGGGAAACAGGGCGGTAAGGTACGTGCCAAGGCGAAGACCCGCTCTTCGCGCGCCGGGCTCCAGTTCCCCGTGGGACGTGTGCACCGCCTGCTCCGCAAGGGCAACTACGCCGAGCGGGTCGGGGCCGGCGCTCCGGTGTACCTGGCGGCAGTGCTGGAGTACCTGACGGCCGAGATCCTGGAGCTGGCGGGCAACGCGGCCCGCGATAATAAGAAGACGCGTATCATCCCGCGTCACCTGCAGCTGGCCATCCGCAACGACGAGGAGCTCAACAAGCTGCTGGGCAAAGTCACCATCGCTCAGGGCGGCGTCCTGCCCAACATCCAGGCTGTACTGCTGCCCAAGAAGACCGAGAGCCACCACAAGGCCAAGGGCAAGTGAACCAATCCCAATATCAGTGCGTGTCTATAACTTTTTACCCAAAGGCTCTTTTCAGAGCCGTCCACATTTTCACACTTAAAAAAGCTTGTAACTAAACCTGGGCTGGGTCTATGAAGCTTATGCGCGGTTAAAGCCACTGGATAATCACCACAGTTTATTATCGCGTTATCTTCGCTATCTGACGGGACTGATTGAAATGTGACTCAGGGAAACAACTTTTACAAAAAAGTGGTTAGTACCGTAAGCAAGGGCTTTAAGTAGTGGTGAAGAAGCAAATTTTGGTAACGTTTTAAAAACCTGGGGTAGTTTGGTTATTTAGCGAGAAGGGAAACATTCTATCCTGCGGAGAAGGCAGGCTGGGGGTGGTAGCTTAGAATGTCACTAAGACGTTTGAAACAGCCAAACGAAAGAACGGCTGGCAAATCAGATCAGCGCGGGCTTTTCAAGTTCTGAACTTGTTGCCGAAACTCGGCCTCTGTTCACGCGTGCCGAATAGTAAGCGGCGACAATGTTTTGGGGAAGTAGAAAAGAGTAGCTTTCATTGCTTTGCCAGGCAATGGAGACCACAGCAGACTAGTGCCCTCAAGACTGTGCCCTCCCTTGAGAGAGTAGGAAGTTATCTTATACAGTCTAGGAGTGGAAAATAGGGTCGCAGATAAGAATGCAATTTTGCGTTCTTTTTTACTTCAGGAAAATTTCAAAATCAAAGATGGCGTCCGGCGATCCTGGGACTGGCTCTGGTGGTGCTTGAGGTTATCGCACCGTGATCTCCTTTCTGGAATGAAAAATGTTCACAGAGGAAGGGAGTGTTTTCTCGGAGAAATAAACACCAGGTGCATAGTACAATTCTAACTAGAAAATAATCAGTTTCAAAGTGAAATTAAGCAAGAAAGAAAGATCTCTGAGAGACTGGCTGACTGGGCTAAAAGAAGAGTTAAACATGATGGCGGCTACCTTAACTAATTTCTGCTGGAACAAACTGAAGCAAAATCCCATTTGGCCACCATAGGAAAGTCAATCATTTGTTGCGCACTGTTTGCTGGTCGTCCCCGGCCCGTCGCTTTCCCCGTGGTTTCCCAGTGGAGATAGGAAGTGGCAGTCCAGGGGAATCTAAGTTCAGTTCAGAAAAAGTAACCACGGAAGAAAAAGAACACAAGTAAATCTGTTCTTAAAGCGTAGTCCTCGGAATTCTAGGCCCCATTACATAGATTTGAATCAGAATTGGCATCGTCCACGATCCCCAAGTGGTTCCTTACTTATAATGTGAGATGCGCTGAACTAGAACATTAGAAAATTAGTTCCTTTGGGTCGCAGAGTATAACAAAAAGAGGGATCGAAATGTGGAGTATTTCATCCAATCAGAGTCTCTAGTTCTTCACCAATCACTGCGTTGACTCTTCAGCCAATGGTTTTGTTTCGCGGGGCTTTTGAAGTAGCGCAAGGCCAATCGGAACGTTTCTGAGTGTATATAAAGGGGACCTCTTCCTACTTATTTGCCTACTTCGTTTCTTTTTTGTTTGCTTTCTTGCGATGGCTCGAACTAAACAAACTGCGCGGAAGTCCACCGGCGGCAAGGCGCCGCGCAAGCAGCTGGCCACCAAGGCGGCTCGGAAGAGCGCGCCGGCCACGGGCGGCGTGAAAAAGCCGCACCGCTACCGGCCCGGCACGGTGGCCCTGCGCGAGATCCGCCGCTATCAGAAGTCCACGGAGCTGCTGATCCGTAAGCTGCCGTTCCAGCGCCTGGTGCGCGAGATCGCGCAGGACTTCAAGACCGACCTGCGCTTCCAGAGCTCGGCCGTGATGGCGCTGCAGGAGGCGTGTGAGGCCTACCTGGTGGGGCTCTTCGAGGACACCAACCTGTGTGCTATCCACGCCAAGCGTGTCACCATCATGCCCAAGGACATCCAGCTTGCTCGCCGCATCCGCGGGGAGAGAGCGTAAAGTTTCCTCAGCTATCTCAATCCAACTAAAAAGGCTCTTCTAAGAGCCACCCACGTTTTCTTTAAAGTAGCTGTCATTTAGTCTGTTTTGTTTCGGAGTTTTGGTTTGGGATGTTAAGGTGGAACTTTCCTCATAAGTTACTGGGTAAACTTGTTTTGGGAGTGTCGTGTAAGTTTATAAGTGTACTATTTCAGTTAATTAAATTCAGGCAGCTTTGCATACCTTCAATTCGTAGGTTATGTGCAAAATTTCCTCAATGCTGTCTCGTGGGAAATGTAATATAAACATGCAGGTGGAATGGGGGATTGGTAGGTTTGGCAATAGAATAAGCCGTGTTTTAGGTAGTTTGGAAGGGGCAGTAATCGGTGCGATGTGAAGGTCGGGTTATTGGAGTACGTGGATTATGTATGGAAGGTGAGCTGCTTTACCCACAAAAGGTTGAATTTGGGTGAAGGTGGGTGTGGATTTGCTGCTTACCCCTTCTAAAGCTGTGTTCCCACATGTTTGAGCATTGACAATTGAGAAGCTAGAGCGTTTGTGGTTGCTTTCTAATGTCTCTGAGACCTCAATTTGCTCAGTTCCAATCTCTGCCAAGTTAAAGGTGAAACTGTTTTGGCTTTCCCGTGAAATGTTTGACCTTTTACACAGAGAACAGTGAGGGCGTTATTTTGCTGATATTAGACTTCTATAAAAAAAAAAATTAGACCTCTCAGTCAGGATTTCTAATAAACTTATTGGTAGCAGAACCCAAGACAGAGAACCCTGCTGGCTTCTACAGTTTCACTACTCAAAGTGTGGTCCACCACCAGCAGCATGTACATCACTTGGGAATTTGCTAGAAACGTAGATTTTCAGACCCAACCCAGGTCTACTGAGTCAGAATCTACGTTGTACCCAGTTTACCCCAGGTGATTCTTATGAACGCTAGATTAAGAAGTCTATTTTTTAAAATGGTGTTTTTGGTCTCATCAAGAAAAGCAGCCTGTCTGAACTCTTACCAGGAGAAAGCATTTGCAAACTACACTTATTTATGTAATAGAATGAAATTTCTGTCAAGCAGTTGCACATAACAAGGTGCCTCTAGAGTTTGATTTCATTATGGATCAGTGGTCTCAGTGGTGACTGCACACTACAGTCAATTGGAGCTTTTATTAAAATATTTTTGCTTGGGGTCCAATCAGTATGACTATAATTGTATGAGGTGGGCCCAGGCAACAGTAATTATTAAAACTCAGGTGCTTCCAATAGGTAGCTAGGGCCAGGACTAAATATTGAATAAATTCCAATCTTGTGGTTAGCTCCTGTTGGACTCTAGGCTTAGCAAGGAGTTACCTAACTGAATCAGGCTTTCCTTGTAGTTCCAAAGGAGGACTTTCTGGCTTGCTTGATGACAGTTTATCTCACTGCAATGAATCAAATAGTATTTGGCTTTTATAGCAATTTCTGAGGACAGGGCTAATGTGAGTCTATATCGAGAAATGTAGCTGCTTTCAGTGGTTGACATTACTAGGTTTTCAGGGATGCTACAAGGAGGAACATCCTGGAGAGTGGATACCTCTGTCTTCACATTGTGCTTTCCTGTACAGATTAGCACAAGGCCTTGTTTGGTCTTTCAGGTGGCCTTTCTCCATAGCCTTTAAAAAAAAAAAAAAATTATTTAGGAATTTATCTCCCCACCCCCCACCCTGGATATTGTTTCATTTTTTAAAACTTAAAAAATATTTTTTTTATTATGCAACATTTGAGAATATATGGAAGTAGAGATAATAGTTTAACAGACCCTACGTACTCCTCACCCAGCCTCAACATCAACACTGGCCAAATTTATACCTCTTCTACCTTGATTATTGTCAAGCAAATCATATCATTTCCTCTCTCAACATTTTAATATACATCTACTTTAAAACCTAATTGTGATGCCATGATTACTCCCCCAACAAACAACATTTAACACTGATGACTTTTTAAATTTATTTATTCCACATACATTTGTTGAGTTTACAATGTGCCAGATGCTGTTCTGTGCACTGGGAATATACTTGGAGAACAAGACAGACAAGATTCTTTGCTCTCATGGAATTTACATTTGACCCTGGGATAGACAATAAATCAGTATCATATGTAATATGTTAGATGGCGAGAAGAACAATAAAGCAAGAATAAGGATTGTCATGGGGAGTTGAAATTTAGATAAGGTGACCAATGAAGACGGCAGTATGGAGGTAGTTATTTCAGCAAAGAGTTGTGAGGAAGAAGTTGTGGAAAGAGAAAATGGGAGCCTTCCCTGGTGAGCTCCGCAGTGGTTAAGAATCCGCCTGCCAATGCAGGGAATGCGGGTTCGAGCCCTGGTCCGGGAAAATCCCACCTGCTGCGGAGCAACTAAACCTGTGTGCCACTACTACTGAGCCTGCGCTCTTGAGTCCGCGTGCTGCAACTACTGAGCCTGCGTGTCACAACTACTGAAGCCCGCACGCCTAGAGCCCGTGCTCCACAACAAGAGAAGCCACCGCAATGAGAAGCCCACACAGGGCAACAAAAAAAGTAGCCCCTGCTCGCCGCAGCTAGAGAAAGCCCGCATGCAGCAACAAAGACCCAACGCAGCCAAAAATCAATCAATCAATAAATTATAAAAAAAAAAAAAAGAGGGAGAGGAGGAGGAATGTTGAGATGCCAGGGGGGCTATGTGGAGTGGAGTGGGCTGGGCGCTGTAGGAGGAAATAATGGCAGAGAAATGAAAGGAAGCCAGATCATGCAGGGGCTTGTAAGTCACGGTAAGGAATTACGCTTTTGCTCTGAGTGAGATGGAAGGTCTTGAGAGGAGTTGCACATAGGAGTTTTTGTGTCCCTCTCTCTCATTTAATCAGGTTCTGCTTTATTTTCAGGTGGTCTCAGTTGTGCTCCAGCACAAAAATCAAGGCCCATTTTTCTTTATTTTGTGCTATTCAAACCTTGAAAATAGAAGCTGACCTGGAGGATTTATAGTTAGGGAGAAAAGAGAAAATCATTTATAAAATATAAACATTTGGGATTAAAGGTGACTCATAGCATAGTACTTCCATTTACTAGTTTTATGGACACAGGCAAATTGTTTACCCTCAGGTAACAAACGATTTATTTGAATTGAAAATCAAATGTCTTCAGGAACCAGGCAAGGGGTTTTTGTATCAGGAACAGTGGTGAGCTATCCAGCTTTATATCACTGGGTCAGTCAGTAGTGACCTTCTGGCTGAATACAAGCCCCCTGTGTTGCAAGGTCCATGTAGCACTCTTGGTCTTTATTATGTCATTTGCCAAGTAGAGATGTTAACAATACCGGCCTTGGGAACTGTCCAGATTCATGATTTTATCAATTCAAAGTCTGTAATTTAGTGCCTATATGGATTATTTAATTTAATCCTCACAATAACTCTGTGGGTTGGGGGGGCCATTATCAGCTCAAATATGATGATGAAGAAATGGAAGCATAGTGAGGGGAACTACCTCTCACAGGGGTTCATTTGGATAAAACTGTCATGGACTTTATCTCCATCACTAGAGAATGGATGGACATTTTGTGTTATGTGCATATGTCCATTTTACTTCATCCATCCATCCACTCATCAAAAACTTTTTGAGTGCTTACTATGTGCTCAACAATGTTCTAGGTGTTGGAAAGAGCAATGCGTAACATGGCAAAGATCCTACTGTGCAGAGCTCACCGACGATTATTGTGGGAGACAGAAAATAAACAAAGATAAACAGTCTTTTGGTAGGTAAAGAGGATTAAGAAAACACAAAGAAAACAGGCCAAGGGGGTTAAGGACTGCCACAGAGTGGGAGATGGGTGGTGGATAGTTATCATTTTAAATAAGGTGGGTGGGGAAAACTTCACAACTGAGATGAGACATGAAAGCCAGTGTCATGAAGCTTGGAAGGGAGAGGGGTCTTCATACATCTGTAAGATCATTCCACAGAGAAGAAACCGTGATTGCGAAGGTCCTATGTTGGGAGCATCACTTGGAATGATGGTCGCAGGTCTGATAACCAACTAGATAGAAGCAGGTTCCTCTTCTGTTTTCTCAAACTGGAGTTTCAAGTCTCAAGCTCAGCAGCGATTTTACACATTTTTTTTTTCCCCCAAAAGTATTGTTCTAGTTTCCTGAGCACACCCAATTCAGATGGTAAACTGAGGCCGGGGCAGGAAGAGATGAGTACTAATCCCAGGGAGGACTGCCAGCCTGATTCAAGGATACCAGTCATTAAGGAAAGACCATTAATTATTTGATAATTTATTTAAAATAAAAAGTAAGATATTTTGAGGTTCCAAATAATCACCATCATCGTTTTACTTTTCAGAAAAAAGAGAATCCAAATGTAATATTTCTAAAAAGGCTTTATACACTCTAACAAGTAAAATTTCTGAGATTACATTGGATAATTATGGATAAGTCCCCAAATATAAAACTGCTCATCTGTTGGCTCATGGCTAATAGAACTCTATATTAAAACCTTCAAAATGGTGACGATTTGATGGCCAAACCCATGATTTTAAAAATAAAACAAAATTAAAATACATTTATTTATTTATGATAGAGGTGTTACATGTTCTCAGCTGCAGATCTTGAGCTGTAGCTTTGTCTTGGCACAGAACTAAGAGATCACATCTCTTCTGAACCCTTCCTATTGGGAGACGCTGCAGTCCAAATGCAGGGATTTTCATTATGGAGTGTAAACTATTAATTACTTTCATTTTTAATAAGTAGTGTTCAAGGAAAGAATGGAAAACTGGTGTCCTTCAGGTTTTGCCAGATAACTGAAACTGTCGGGGAGGAAGAAAATGTCCTCTATCCTTTGCCAACTAAAGAATGTAGCTAGCTATCTGGTTCTACAAGGTTTGAGATCCAGCAAGTAACAGAACTTCCTTTTAGAAAATAGAGATTGGGACCCTGCCTTGGTGGAGGGTATATTAAGATAAACCCCCAAACCTTGTGGACAAAGAATGTCACCTGCCATATCAGTAAACTAAGGATGTGGCGGCCATCAAGCCATCAGCTCCCGCAACCGCCCCTGCCTGTGCACCCTGAGGGGATTCAGGATGGAGAAAAACAGGATACTGGCCCTAGATAGTTAAGCTACATATATATCAAAAGAATGATTTCAATGAGTCCAGACTCTTGCATCTTCCCAGATATAGAAAAGGGCTAACTTCATTAACTTGAGATGGCTGTTTTCTTTAACAGTAATCTTTTGAATTTCCAACTACGTGCTTTTTTGTGTTGTTGGGTTTTTTTGTTTTTTTTCCAAAAACGCCTATATATCCTGGATCCTCCTTTACCTCTTCAGGACCAGTCCCTCAGAGCTATCTGAGAGGCTGTCTCCTGGGCTTAAGTCCTCCATATACCTGCTGAATATAACATAATTCTCAACTTTTAGGTTATTATTATTTTTTCAATTGACAGCCTTACGGCTTATTGCAAGTTTATTCTCTGCTTTTATGAGGTCCAAAAAGGGTGTTCTAGATCAGCAAGTAGCTCTTTCTTCCAAGCAGTGGTTCTGGAGCCCAGGTGCCCTTTTATCTCTGTGTCTCAATCATCCTAAACACACTGCTTTCCCATGTTAAAAAATAAAATTCAATGGAGTAAATTTTAAAGAGCTTATTGGCTTTATTCAGTGATTCATGAATCAGGCAGCATCCAGTCTAGCAGATAGAAGAGAGCTGTGAGGAGCTGTACAAAATAAAAGATTTTTCTAGGCAGAAGGGAGCAGGAACAGGGAAGTTACACTAGGAAAAAAAGTGGGTAGCTTATTGCAAGGTTGCTTTCCTTTAGGGGTTGGCAGGGGTCTGTCCGGCTGATTACCTGACTGGTGCTGAGCAGGCAATTCCTGTTTGACTAGTTTAAGATTTCATTTCTGGGGAAGCCAAAACTGTAATTAAGTCTTGGTCTGATGACATAACTCTATTTTGGGCCTCTTTTGTTTCTAAAACACTTTTGTCTTGGGAGGGGAAAGAGCTTGGAAAGTCTTCGTGGAGGTTATTATGCCCCAGACCTGAAAATGTCAAACTTTACTTTTATTTACCTTCCATTGTTAGGAACTCAGCTATGTGGGCTAAGAAGGCCACACCCAACTACAAGGGAAGCTGGGAAACAAGGTCTCTGAGGGCTCAGGAAGGAGAGGTTAACAGCCAGTGTGCCTCTGCCTCTGAAGGTTTATAGAGTTTATCTGTGCAGAACTGGGGCCCTGAAGTTAGTATCATGTATCTGTCACCTCAGATATCCACACTTGCTCTAATTCTCTTTCCAGAAAACCTGTGTATCTTCTAAAATCACTATGCACAAGTCCTCTGTTCTTTCCTGATAGTGGTAGACAGAGCATTGAAACAACAGAGTTCTGGGGTAGTCCCAACACTAAATATGCTTGAGCAAATCACCTATAAGAGTTACTGTATTATCTCTACAGATGGGGAAGCATGCTGAGTGATTCTGCATAATGCCCAAGGTCACCTGGCTAGTAAATGGTGATAACAAATTTCAGCCCAGGTAGTGAACCTCAAAGCCCTTCAATTTTAAGCATATTTCATTACTGTTCTATATTTGTATACATTATTATGTGCTCTATAGGACAATGTTATATGTCCTAGGTAACAGGGACCATATCTTATTACAAATGACAACTAGAATGACAAGTGAGAAATTACCTTAATGCAGTGGTAGCCTCCCAATACACTACCAGGCAGGCCATTTCCAAGGTCATAGAACATAAAGTCTCACAGAACAATTTAAGTTCCCTGATTAATTTTATTGAATTAATTTTAAATATATAGCAAGAAACAAGGGAAAAGATACCGGACAAATGAACACATTTCAGATAGGTTGCAAAAAGATCAGTTGAATTCTTGGTTTCACTTTTCATGTGAAACCTCCCTTTCCTCCTCTTCTCCCCCTTCTCCTCCCCCTCCCTCTCTCCTATCTCTCTCTGACCCTCCCCTCTCCCTCTCTCTCCTCTCACTCCCTGCCTTCCTTTGAATTTCTTCTCTGCTGAGAACTAGGTTGGACTTTGAGCAAAGGGGTCCAGCAGATGGAAGTGATTTGGAGCCAACACATGCTTGCTCTGTTGGAGAGATGCAGGGCTGAGTATACAGCCTCCCATCTAGGGAGGTCACCAGTGACATACCAAGCAAACATGTCTTTTATGTGCATGTTATCTGTAGAGGGCAAATGGTACCAAAATGGGAGTCACCAATGGGTGGTCAGTTTAAGAACTCATAAATATCGTGTAACTCATAAATACTTAGTGTCTTACAAATATTTGGCACTTCTTGGTTCTTTCATCACTTTATATCTCCATGTAGCACACACAAGCTCTACTTTCTCTCTGTCTAACATCTCACGACGTACTAACTTAATGATTTACAGTAAATACAGCTTCTGAATTTTGTATCTCATAAACGCCTTGCTTACCTATCCAACATTTCTCACATGTTTCCTACTTATGAATTACCTACTTAATATTTATGAATTTCATCCATCCAGTTTGTTCTTGGTAGGCTCTCCATAGTAGAATTGAATAGTAGAATATATTTGAGAATATTCTCAAATAATAGAGAGAACATACCTTATACATAGAAAGGGATGAGTTCCCTAAGGAGAGTGGAGCGCCCATTCCAGGCCTGAGCTACATAGAGAGAAAAAGACTAATTTTGTTTAACTACTGACTATTTTAGGCTGTCTGTCACTTCTAGGGGTATCTAATACTAAGTCATACAGGTGCACATTAAAAAAAGAAGAAATCTTATTAAGGAGAATCTTTAAGAGGAATAATGGACAAGATTTATTAGTATAGTATTCCTTTCTACATTTCAGTAAGATCCTACATTTCAGTAAGTCACAGCACTAGGACCAATACAAAATTCTTGTGGACCAATGATAAAACATGGTAACCTGAAAATGTAAATATATAACATCTGTTGTTAACCATAGTCCACAAATACAAACTTGAACTCCACACATTTTTGTAATTCCTTTCTCTCTTTTACTGTCTCCTCTTCCCTTGCCATCTCTCTTACTCCACCTCCCTTCCAGAATTGCCTCCAGGGAAATTAAAAATTTAAGGTTAAGTGAGTTCAGCTTTTGGCAATGCTAAAGTGACATTTAGACTGATACTTCCCTTCTGTTCGTTTGGGTACTGTCTAAATATTCATTTTAGACTATGAGCCCTGTGAGGAGATTGTTTCTATCCTGCTCATTGCTCTGTCCCTAGTACCTGTCACTTTTTGAAACTTAATAGGCTCTCAGTGAATGAATGAATAAACTCAGAGTCCTAGTTTTTCCACTCAAGAGTTCATTTAGAGAAGAATCTTGGGCACACTCAGATCTATGATCTCACAAGACTCTGCAACTCCCCCCTCCCCAATCCAGCAGAGAAATGGCCATGAGAGTGGATTTATCAAAAGTCCACTTTTGATAAGGATAGCAACTAAAGAGCTCTGATCGACATTGCAGGTAGCCTGTCGTGTATGATCCTTAGTCTCATGGTATTTTGAAAAACTGTAGCTGAAATTGTATTGTTGCTAATTCCAATCAGCCTTAAGGGAAGACTGACTGACTCACTGGGCTGCCAGCCAAGGACTGTATCCAAAAATCAAGGTTTTATATTTCCAGGCTACTTGAGGTTTCTTACCCCTTCCTTTTCTCTATTACGTGAATAACTAAAGATTTCACAATCATTTGATGGTCTGACTGCTAAAATTCTTAATAGCTCAGCAACTAAAACTGACTTCTCAGTTCTTAATATAAAACCGTTTCTCTGCTCTGTGCTCGCTAAAATTATTTCTTCTCAGTAAAAAGAGCCCTATTTCTGAAGAAATTAGAATGGTAAAGATGCCTAATTAGTCAATTTTCAAACCTGACCTTACTTCTCTCTAGAAACGAATAGTATGCAGCATTAGAGCCCCTTTTGAAAGTGTGAGTGGCTCTGAAAAGAGCCTTTGGGTTTAACAGCACCTGAAAACATTTACTTGGAGCTGGTGTACTTGGTGACAGCCTTGGTACCCTCGGACACGGCGTGCTTGGCCAGCTCCCCAGGCAGCAGCAGGCGTACGGCCGTCTGGATCTCCCTGGAGGTGATGGTCGAGCGTTTGTTGTAATGCGCCAGGCGCGACGCCTCGCCCGCGATGCGCTCGAAGATGTCATTGACGAACGAGTTCATGATGCCCATAGCCTTAGACGAGATGCCGGTGTCCGGGTGGACCTGCTTCAGTACCTTATACACGTATACGGAGTAGCTCTCTTTCCGGCTGCGCTTGCGCTTCTTGCCATCCTTCTTCTGCGCCTTGGTCACTGCCTTCTTAGATCCCTTCTTGGAAGCAGGAGCAGATTTAGCCAGCTCAGGCATGGTGTAAAGTTATCAAACAGACGAAAACTGACAACACCTGTTACAATGCTGGCCTATTTTTGTAGGGCTTATATGCAAATAGGTGCTTAATCTATCTCAATTCCTGATTGGGTCAAATCAGCCAGTAGAAACCTTTTATGCAAATAAGGTGATTTCAAATCTGCTTTTTGATTGGCTGTCTAAGTGGAACTAACACTAGACATCCCCCCCACCATCAGAAAAAATAACTTTCGTTTTCAAAATAGTGCAAAAAATTAATGTCTTGTCCGTAAGTATCTACTTGTGAGCCTTGTTTCTCTCTAGATCCGGACCTAAAGAGACAAACGCCCGATACAAATTTATGACTAGTTTCCTGCCAAAATTCAGTTACCGGGTTAGTAATTCTAGAAAAGAACATAGAAATTAGCTAAATATATAAATGTTTTCAAAATTATGCCATTGGCATTTCCAATTCGGCTTGATCAAAGTCGGCAACACTTAAGCTTTACGAAGAATTAAGGATCGTCACATTTCAACGGCGGTAGTATTTTCATGTTTTCTAGGAACAGTGTCTGGAAGTGATGCCAGCGTTTGTTGGAGAGCTGGGAATTATGTAATATGGTGCTTGCATTGCTAAGATAAAACGTTTATTCAAAATCAGAACCTTTGATAAGTGACGAAACTGGACTTGATCAATTACATTCAAAACCGTAGTTTTTGAAAGGGCTCAGAACTCTGGAACGTTCATTTTCGTCTCTTCCCAAACTTAATCCCGAACAAGGGGAGTAAAACAAAACCAACTAAGGTATATATAAAACATGTAACATACAGGGTGAATAAATGGCGGAGGACTTTAAGCGAGTAAATATAGAGCGTACTGCAATAGATCTAGATTTTCTAAAGTGAGACCTGGTATCCAATCACAAGGCCTATCCAGTTACTTAATTCACGGCGCGGAATTTGAAGATTCGGACCAATCAGGAGGACCTCGCCTGTATAAATAAGAGCAAGAACAGCACGGCTTGTAGTTGTAGCAGTGTTTGCAATCTCATATTATGGCTCGTACTAAGCAGACCGCTCGCAAGTCCACCGGCGGCAAGGCCCCGCGCAAGCAGCTGGCCACTAAGGCGGCCCGCAAGAGCGCGCCGGCCACGGGCGGCGTGAAGAAGCCGCACCGCTACCGGCCCGGCACGGTGGCCCTGCGCGAGATCCGCCGCTATCAGAAGTCCACGGAGCTGCTGATCCGCAAGCTGCCGTTCCAGCGCCTGGTGCGCGAGATCGCGCAGGACTTCAAGACCGACCTGCGCTTCCAGAGCTCGGCCGTGATGGCGCTGCAGGAGGCGTGCGAGGCCTACCTGGTGGGGCTCTTCGAGGACACCAACCTGTGTGCTATCCACGCCAAGCGCGTCACCATCATGCCCAAGGACATCCAGCTTGCTCGCCGCATCCGCGGGGAGAGGGCGTAAATTGGCCTTCTTAATCGAGTGATAACCGAAACCCAAAGGCTCTTTTCAGAGCCAATCACTTGATCATATAAAAGGTGCCGTAGTACTTGGTCATTAAGAGCACAAATTTTGCGCAGTCCCGAGAGACCTTTGTGGAGAGAGTCTCGGAATTAAGCTCTTTAAAAGGCCTATGGTGTGGGTTTTTTTTTTTTTGGGTTGCGTTGGGTCTTCAGTGCTGCATATGAACTTTCTCTAGTTGCGGCGAGCGGGGGCTACTCTTCGTTGTGGTGCGCGGGCTTCTCATTCCAGTGGCTTCTCTTGCAGAGCACGGGCTCTAGGCTTGAGGGTTTCAGTAGTTGCAGTACTGGACTCAGTAGTTGCAGTGCGTGGGCTCAGCAGTTCTGGCGCACAGGCTTAGTTGGTCCGTGGCATGTGGGATATTCCTGGACCAGGGCTCAAGCCCGCGTCCCCTGTATTGGCAGGCAGTCTTAACCACTGCACCACCAGGGAAGTCCTAAAAAGCCTATGTTATTTTTAAGTTTTCAGTGTAGGAACTGCCTCCACGGCTTTACTTGCACACCCCCGTTTGGCGTATTTTGTGTAGGTTGGGTACATTTAGGCGTGGCTAAACGCCTGGTCTACACCAGGGTGCCCTTGCTCACCAGAATTGTGAAGCCCAGCTCGCTAGCAACCACAAGGACCTGTTGAGAATTGTCACGGATATACCACGACCACCCCTAAAACGGAGCCAAGGCTTAGGTTATTAGCTTTATCACCAAAGGGAAGACCTTGACAGCTCCTGAGAACTTGGTGGCGGTCTTTACCCACCAGGTCTTCTCTACAAAGGGCCGAAGCAACCAACAGGGTCAGCTGGGTGGGTCTCTGAGTAGGAAGAAATGGAATGAACTCGAATGCAGGAATCATGAGCCTTTCAGCAGACGCCATTAAAGAGGTCTTTTTCTGTTTTCCTAAATTCCCTATCTTAATCTCTAAATCAAATCTTATGAAAGTACTTCATATTTGTCAGTAAAACATGAAAATCAGCTGTAAGCTTGAGAGTTCTCTATTGCAGAAAATATTGTCTTCGCCTTCTTCTCATCCCTACAAAACAGCAGTGTTATGTTATTCTGTATTGAAACGATATTCCCTTCTTGTGGAAGTAACAAATTCTTCACTATTTCTAAACTGGTAGCTGAAGGGAAAAAAGTAAGGAATTTTGTACTGAAACTATACAGTCTGTTATTTGGAAATGTAGAAAGGTTGTTACTAATTGGGTTACTGTAGACCATTTGGAAGGATTTTATGTCTATTCAAACACTTCAGCAAATTTCAGGTTCAAGATGGGTGAGGTATCCTTAACTACAAAATTGAGATCCTTCTATTAATTTATTGTTTTTTAATGGGCTGTTTCCCCTTGAGGATCAGTAAGGAAAGAGGTCAGGTGGTAAATTTAACAGAAACAAAGCTGTAAATAAATACACAGGCCAAGTTAGCCATTGTAAGTCCTAAAGGTTTTATAAAAGAAATCTTTGTTCTTGGAAGTCTGTCAGGCATTGAGACTCGGGTGCTGAGAACTGGGGAGCCTGGACCCATATAAGGAAAAAAGTTTAGCTATTCATAATTCCAATAATGGAGTGTTAGATATTTGTAACGCTACATAAAGGCATTCCATATTAGAACGTACTTGCCCATATCCTGCACTTTCTTTGAGATTCTAGCACAGTAAGTTTTTTAATGTCTGTTTCTGTCTCACCAGATGGTGGATGTCAAGATATGAGGACCAAGGGGGCACAGAAAACACCTAGTTGTATTATTAAATCCATCAGAACATCTAGAACAGTCCTTTGCCTAAAACAAACCCTCAGGAAATTAGTCAAATTGGAATTTAAAATAAAAATGATTGAACAAACAGGAATTACCATTCAGTTTATTCCTGATTACAGAAGTAAAAGATTGATAGAGTTCATGTAACTTTAATACTATATAGTTTTACCACGTAGAAATAATCAACATTAATTGAGTGGTTGCATTACTGAGTCGGCCAGAAGTCATGTATTAGTCTATGAAGTCTCCAAAATATAAGGTAAATTCAATAGTTCTCTACTAATATACATAATTATTATTCTATTAGTTCTTTACAGATGAGGAAACTGAAACTAAGAAAGTTTCAGTTAAAAAGGATAGAGCCAAACTTTTCCCCTTTAGCATTGCTCTATTAAACAATAGCATCAGTATGATCCTCAACAGTTACCCCTGAGGCTTTATTCCTTGGAAGAGCTGTCATAGGAAGACTGATATGTTTATCTTAACATTTTCATAATATGTTAAAGGAAATGGGTGGATTTTCAAAATGTACAGGATAATATAAAACTGTGTTCTATTATACTACAATTATTACAGCCAATTGCACAGAAATATAATTGATGCACAGCAATAAAATTATAACATTAACTTGGACAATTTTTAGCCTTTCTGTCCATCATCCAAACAATGATCTTGATTGTTAAGACACATACACACACACACACACACACACACACTTTTTTAAAAAAAATTTAAAGGCATACATTGAAATGGTAGTGCTTAACATGAGATTTTTTTAAATGAATTTTGATTTTCTTGGGGAAATATCACAAATCTAAATCATGTCACATTTTATTTGTACCTGTTGGAAAATTAAGTTGTATAACCATTTCAGGCTTACCTGGTTGCCTATAAGTACATGTAATTTAAAAACAAGTATATAATCTCTGAATGACCAGTAGCTTTATTTTATAGAAGTGATAGCTAAAAATCAAGATAATTCAGAAATGCCATTCTTTTTCCACATCCTGCCTACCCCATATGTACACAGGTAAATATTGATATTTTACATCTGAAGACTTCTATACTGCAAAGGTGTTTTTTTTTTTTTTTCAGTAGCCCCAACACCTTGGATGGCATAACTCAGAAAGTAAGGGAGCTAGTGCCTAAATCAAGCCATGAGGAGGGTCATAGAAGGGGCAGAGAGATTTATTACCCTTAGTTTTCCACAGAAAAACAGAAAATCACTGGATCTGATTATTATGGGGGTAATCCTACCCATTTGACAGGATTTTAAAGCTCAGTCAATTAAAAAACACCTAGAGTAGTGGGAAAACAAGATAAAGAAGACTAATGACCTAGGGTTTAGTTTAATGACAGAAAAGAATAGATGCATTATAAATTTTCCATTGATAATAATGGTACCCAATTATTAATGTCATCAAAGCACATTATCAGAGAAACTAGATTTTTCTAATTAGGGGAATTTATTCATGGAGTTGGAACTTGAGATGAAATTGGAAAGATTCTCCCAGGTAGAAGGAGAGAAGGAATTGCAGATGAGTAAAGTTGTCCAAAAAACAAAAAACAAACAACAACAAAAAGGAATAGAAAGGTAAATTTCAGTTATTAGTGCTGGTTAGTGTGAGCAGAAAGTATCATTATGAAAAAAGGCTATAAAGTTCTCACTTGAACCTAAGGCAAGAGTGACAATTTTTATAAGACAGAATGACCAGAATTTAGGAATTAGGGGCTGGAGAACCTGTTAGGAAGAACTAGTTAGGAAGAAACTGTTTAGGATACTGGTTAAGAAACAATGGAATCATCCAGGTATGAGAGGATAAGGAGAGGATGTGAGAGGGGAGAAACTGTCAGTTACTGAAATTTATTTAAACATCTACCTGATTTAGTGACTGAGTGACATGAGTAATCAAGGCCTCCACACAGTGACATGAATTCCATCTGCCTCCTCCAGTTAAAAGGAGTCAGGCAATTACTAAGTAGAAGGGAGAAAGTAGTGACTTCAGCCTGGCCCCCAAAATTACTTTTGGCTTACACCTATGCCATATGTATAAGTACCCTCCTGCAGCTAAGAAAATATGAACATGCCCTTCACACCTTCCATGCTAAGACATCCTTTTTTCTTTCTTTCTTTTTTTTTTTTTTGGTATATTTTGGAGACAACTACTCACACAGGCTCCTGCTTGATATTTGCCTCTTTAAGTGTAGATCTGTTGAGTTTTTCTAAACCTGGGTTTTTGCCACTGTAATTGACAGACCACCTTTGTTTAGCAAAAGAACATCAGAAATGCAAGGATGAGTGTTTCAGGAGACCCTCCTAGGGATGTGGTTTACTGATGAAATAAATACACGGACTAGGAATGAGCTTCCTGATCCCTCATCATCCTGCTGCAGAATATCAAGACCATCCCAAGATGTTCATTTTAACCTGCTTTAACTGCAACAAAAATTTTGGGAGATGGAGGAAGAGTTAAACAAGTTCTGATTTCCTTGTAAATTAGAAACTGTCCCAAGGAAAGGAATATGAATATTAATTTACATAAACCAGTGTAAAACTAGAAGAGCATTGATTGAATCGTGTTTAATCCCTTCTGGTGCATTCCAAAGTGATTGTGAATTGGATAGCTCATAAAGGGCCTAAAATAGAAATACATGAATGTTATTTTTTTCTGGATGAGCCTAAAAAGGAAATAGAGAACTCTACTCCTTTTCCAGTTGACGTAATAGATGGGGAGCAGTGCTCAGAAAATGACACTAGGAATAAAGAAACTTGTGTTTGAGACCCAGGTCCATCATTTATTGACAAGGTGATTCTGGTCATTTCATCTTTCTAAGCCACAATTTTCTTAACTTTAAAACAAGTAGCTTAGGGAATTCCCTGGCAGTGCAGTGGTTAGGACTTTCACTGCCATGGACTGGGTTCAATCCCTGGTTGGGGAACTAAGATCCCACAAGCCACGCGGTGCAGTCTAATAATAATCAAGCAGCTTAGCTATACCTACTGCAAATGCTTTATAGTGAGGCAGGCATAGAAGTGGTTTGTAAAATGTAACGAACTACAGAGATACTATATAGTAACCACTCTTCCTGAATGTCACATTCCCACATAACACTTATTCCTCATCACTCATAATCAAAAGCCAAACTCTCTCATTCTGGGTATTAAAGACGTCACAGGTCTCTTCCCCCTTCCTTATCTTTCCCCCTTGATGCAATCTCTTATTTTCAAAAAGATTCTTCTGAGTAACCATTTTACATCTTCCCATTTATCCAAATCGCCTTCTCAACCAAACCAGTCTTCTAAGAGGAGGGTTTTTTGGCCCCTTCTAGAAAGAAGAAAGTATGGAATACAGTTGTGATGGGGAAAAGATAACTCCTGCTTAGAAAAGCTAGAAAGGTAATCACAGGCTACCTCCTTTTTTTCTTTTAAAGAAAGTTTAAATAGTAAAGTTTAATAAACTATTAAC